ACCCTTAATCTTATATAGGTACTCCAAGGTGAAAAATGCTTAAGAAATAGCCAGCTAGCTAGCTAAGGATGCCAGCGTTACATTAGCCATCCAAGCATAGTTGGCTGTGGAACAAATGCTCTCCATTTCTGATTTATCCACCAGAGATGTACTCATCCCACTGGACCATTTCTTAGAAAGCTCTCTTAGACCTTCAACTACATTTAAAACCTACAGTAATTCAAACTGATCTCAAAGTCAGAGATGCCCTGTAAAACAAAGTTCTGACTGATATCTGAGACGCTACAAACTATATGAGAGACTTATATAAATCTAGTGGCCAAAGTCCCAAGACAGCCGTCTCTACTAACCATCTAAAAAAAATAAAAAATCAAGGTTCCAGAGCAAAGGATGATGTAGGGTGGAAAATATATTCCAAGAATCAGAAGACCAAGACATGCAAGTAATGCACTAATCCATACTACTAATTGCTTGAAAACTATCAAGGAAATAAACACTTCACGTAGTTAGACATTATTATTACCAACATTTGCCAAAGAGTTCTATAGCAAAATGGTACTCAAGTTCGGGTGATGCTTCATAAAGGTCAAAATATAAAATAAAGAAACTTTAAATAGATAATTTTCATCAGTATGGATCGATCCAATCCCCATAACCAAACAAACAGAATGTGATTAAAAGAGTAACAACCCTTTCACGTATCAGAAAGACAAAGCAGCTTTCTTTTCTACATAATCCTAATTTAATATTTATTTTTGAAATCCCTAAGCCTCCTCAAACTTTTGCTGGCACCTGATGTATTATGTGATCTGAACTATGTTTTCTGTGTGTGTACTAAATTATAAGCTCTTTGGAACAGGAACCTTATCTTAGACAATACAGAGCACATTGTCAAACAATAATATTTTTCCTCAAAATGTTCATTACAATTTGAACAGAAGAAGCTAAATTTGTATGTGAAATTAAAACACCTAGCCATGTATTAATCACCACACCATGGTATGTAAGTACAAATTCTGCCCTTAGATGTTCAGTGAAGTTTGAGACTCCCAATGACTTTGAACAGAACTGAAAGGGCAGAATTTGGCCTTTAGTTTTAATCTTGTTCCCCAAATCATAGACTATTTTTTTTATACCACTGCCCTATTTTTTTCCACACTATCATTGCACATGGATGTACTCAAATTGTGGGGTATTTATTCCATGTAGTTCATACAATATGTTAATCAATAAAGTCTTCTAAGTTTAAGCACATAAGACGTCCCATTGAAGTGAATAAGACTACCCATGTGCTTTAAAATTATGCACCTGCCTGCCTAAGCATTTTGCTGAATCAGGGCCTAAGAATCAGAGCAATATTCTAGTGTTCTACATACAAAGTGCCTTTTCCCACCAGAGCTACTTAAACGAATAGTGCCAAAAGTCAGTCTATTTTGGAGGTTATAGGGTTAAATGTGATATGTTGTTATGCTCTAAACTCATGCTTCAGAACTAGCTAAATTGGGATCAGAATCCTGACTTCCAGTATATAGAAAATAATCTGCAATGCATTCAGGGATATCAGATATTGACATAATTAGAGGTGTGAATAGAAGAAAATCTAATAAAACTGCCTTATACTACCAATTATTTTCCATCCCTACCCTGGTGTTACATTTCACAACATCTTGTTACTGAAGAGTTTCCCTAACTTATTATGGTCAGATATTCATTTGTGTTCTTCAGTTTTTATATTTACTTAGTTAAAAAGATAAAACTTTTCACTCTGTAATGTGGACACAAATTTGAGACAACTTAAATATAATAATAGGGCCTTTCTTAGCTACCCCAAAAAAATGAAGTATGAAAAATTGCGAATAGCGCATTCCAAATCACAGTATCAGAAATAATTTATTCCCTCAGATTTCCAGTTTAGATTTATTTTTAAAAACAGTCTTTTACATGATGTGTTACCAAAACATTGCCTACAGGAAAGCAATAACAAATGTGTGATTAGGAAAGCTAGCATGATATTTAAGAATGTACAAATTATTTGAGAAAACTGTACAACTTCAATCGACCTAGTAAAAAAGAAAAAGCAAAATACAGGCAGTCCTCGGACTTACGACACAGTTGGTTCCCTACAATTGTGTCGTAAGTCGGAACCGCAATCTACTCCGTTGTGGGACCGAGCGCTGTAAACTCGAAACCTATAGTCAAATCAGGATGTCAATGTAGAAGTGTCATAAGTGCCGTTCGTCGTAACTCAAACGGCGTAAAGTCGAGGACAGCCTGTGACACCTACTCTTGCCCACAATAAACATAATAGTATAAACAAACTTCCCTATCCAGATTACAGAATTCAGATTTCAACACTGATACCTGAAAACAAACAACAGAATTAAAACTATTCCAATACGCTAAAAGCCAAAACCAATTTAAGATCTCAGCTAATAAAATTATAATTTTCCTGTATTTTGGGCACATGTAAAACTAGCAGCTGACATCAAATGAAATAAATGCCAAACATGTAAAATGAAGGTTGGTATTTCTCCAGTTCCTTTCCTGCTCCCTACAGTTGTTTTAGAACTGTCATTATCTCTGTTCCCTCACATAATCTTATGTTGGTACAAGAGCCTTTTCCTGTAACTCCTGCCCTCTTGTACAGAATCCTTATCGCTCTCTGCCTCATCAGTTCACCATACACAATTAAAAAAAACCTGTTTATCACCAAAATAGTGCTGCGGGAACCCCAGCAGCAGTGTAGTGAAGCATGAGCGATTACTGAACACTGTGCAGAACAGCAGGTGAGCCTCCCATGGCAACACTCCTGACTCTTCACAGCATGCTGTCTGAGGACCAGAAATTTGGATCCAACCTGGCACTCAGAAGACAGGTAGCACTGCTTATTCCATGCTTCTATGGCAGGTTTAATATAGCTACAAGAGGCGATTAAGCCTGACCACTAGCTCCCTGTGCGTACTCTTCTCCTGCCACTGAGTATCATGAGAAGGTACAGCCATAACATCCTTGTCAAGTTCTCTTTGACCTAACTCCCAACATCACAGTCAAAACTCGGCTGGGGCTTGTAATCAGAATTTGAGAATTCACTGGCATTTTTCAATAATAGCTGGGTTAACCCTGGTATGCTGGCCAACATTTCCCCATCAATAAAAGACAGACTGATATGCAAGTCTGTGTGAGAGCTATGCTGAGAACATAGTGGCAGGCAGTCGCATTAGTATACATAGTCCCACTCTCTGAACTCTCAGAATAAAAAGCCCCAATTACTACAATAAGCCCTATGCAGGCAGACTCCATGACTCGTTGCAGCCTAATCTTTTACAGTAAAATGCTTTGGTGTATGAAGGATGCTATTATATAAACCCAAAAGGAATTGAGTAGTTACACAGAAAAAACATTTTTCATTTGTAGTTACATGTGAATATAAAATTAACAGGTTTTTTTCACACATCCAATCATTTATTATGCCATTAATACCTCCTAATTATTAAATCTTAATGCATTTCTTTTTACAAGACCTTGGAATATAATTGCTGACATACAAAAATAGCCTATTTTTTCATCCAATCATAGCATCAGGTTTCCATATATAAGATATTTCAATACTGCAAACTTCCAGATATTTTTTAAAGTTTAAAACTGTACTTTTAAATTGGCAATATCAGATTGAACGCTACCAAGCTTTTCAGAAGTCATAAACCAACAAATGCACTTCAGCTGAAAAAATATCTAGGGCACTAAAAAATAATTAAATTAAACAGGACAGGAAGCAAATTTTTAAAATGCTTAATATTTGTAAGGTATATCTTTAGATGATTTATTGCTCAGCCTAATGTAGTAGTACCTTTTTGGTGAGAAATGGTATGCTAGTAACTTAAATATGCATTTCTTATGGCAATATGTACTGGTAATAATTTATCTTTAAATGGAAGTGAATAATCAGTATCTCTGTTTTCTTCTGTTTTTGGTGTTGGTTTTTAATGCCTTTTTCTGAGTTCACCCTAAAAGGCATAATTATGCTACTTATCTTATATTTACTTACAATATGCTTGCTCCCAGTCCTTCATGAAAAAGAGACATATTTAAATATAATGAGGTAAGTATATACACAACATATTTGCTTCTAAAAAAGATAATATGTCTCTTGTGATCTAGAAGAACTATACTGTACTTTGAAACTGTAATTACCACTTTGAAAAACTAACTAGTTTCACTTTCTATCTGCATACTTATTTTACAAAGTTTTTAATTTCTAGCAGCTTTATAAAGATCAAATACAAAAGCTGGCTAAACATGTTCACTGGACAATGTCCAATCTGATTTACTCTATATTGACTTTACACCTATTTTGGGGTCCGTAAATCTGAAGATTGCTCCATACAATCTAAAACTGTAATTTTCCTTCCAGCTTCATTTTTGTGGTCTATATTACCACCAGAAATTACTGTTAGAAATAGTATCTCATGCTGTCCAGATGGAGGCAGTTTGTTCTCTCTCTATATATATATATATTTTTTTAAAGTAAATTACTGCAATGGGAATATGCTCAGCATCACCTGAAGAAATAAGACACAACGGACACTTTGCCATTATTTTACCAATGTAAGCAAAGTAAAGTGAAACCTGAATACTGGGGGCAAAAAATACCCAGTATCGAGGTGCCATGCAATGGCTTAACACACTGCTTAAGAGCTGTAGTAAGAGCCAAATCCTGTTCCCAATGGAATCACTGGGAGGTGTACTATTCAATTACAACAGGAATTGGACTCTCATGAAGGATGCACTGGGATGAACTGCACCCAGAAGGAGTTTATGACATTTTCCCTACAGCTATACACTCTGACATTTTAGCACTCACTAGCTGTCTTGGCTCTTTTACAGATAGCCTTTGTAAATTTCAACATCTGAATTTAAAAATATCATTGCTACAGGTACTTTTCACCTGCATTGTGATTTTTGTGCTAGCACATAACAATGGAGGAATATTTTTCCCTTACCTCCTTTTCAGGTTGTCTTGCAGGAGTCTCTGTTCTACTTTCTTTTAGTTTACGTGCATTTTCAAGCTGGGCTTGAAGCTTTGAAGCTAAATCCTTTAAAGAAAATGATAAAAATGAATTAATTCAGTTGTTTTAGCTCTTATTTACAAAAATATATATCCCAACTGTCCATTTCTCTTGCTTCTCCATATTTTGTTTATTTTTTAAAACACCAGCTCACATGTATAGAGAAGTACTATTAACTGTAATGCCAGTGCCATTTGAACAATTCCTTATTATAGGTACAAGATCAGAAATTTTTCCAAAAAATTTAAGACAGATGCATCTGAAGCATTATGGTACATATCATTTTAAAAATAGCACTCCCATAACACATTAGTTTTCAAACGCACTGTTCAAATATTAATCAACTTATGCTCATAAAATCTGTAGGTAAGCATAACAGCCATTATACAAATTGAAAAGCAAATAGAGGTAAGTCTAATCTAATGTAATGGACATCCTTTTCCAACAACACCCTTAGTTTATAAGTTCCACAAAGAGTCTAAGTGAGCAAATCTTACAGCTGCTTCTACTGCATAGATTTACCCTCCCTTAAACACCACCTCGGAATCTGGGCTGAGATTGAGTCTAATCTGGGTTCTAGATGACCCAAAGATGGAAGAGTAAGACCTATTTGCATTCTCTCATTAATTGTTTTTCCTGATATTTCCTCTCTTCCACTCCTCATTATACAGACAAGGTGGATGAGATAATACCTTTTATTGGACCAGTTTCTGTTGAGGAGAGAGACAAGCTTTTGAGCTACTCAGAGCTCTTCCTCACGTCTGAGAAAGGTACTGAGAGTTTCACAGCTAAATGCAAGATTGAACAGACAGTTCCCTTAGAATATGTGCTAACTACTTATGTTGAACTGTGTGTTCAATTTCGTATTTAGCTGTGACACGCTCAGTACCTTTCTGCAGACCTGAAGAAGAGCTCTGTGTAGCTCGAAAAGCTTGTCTCTCACCAACAGAAGCTGCTCCACCCACCTTGTCTCGCTAATATCCTGGGACCGACATGGCTACAACACCACTGCATAGTTCCTATTACATAAATCACAGCAATTTAGACTCAATGGGCTAAATTCAGAGCAATAGAGCAAAATGTAACAAATTAATTCATTTGATTTACATTTATTATTAAACAAGGGAAACAGGCCTAAATTGCTGATTCCACACAATGATAAAAATTAATTTCAATATAAATAATTAAAATAATTAATATGAAATTAACAGCAGCATTATAACAGTATAAAATACCTCACATATACATCATTTGTATTTACAAGAGTGCTTTTATTGAGAATATTTTCTTCTGTTACTTAAAAGAACACTGACAGCATAAAATCATACTTCTGTCCAAATGTTTCCCTGTATTGTTACATGTATCAGCTAAAATTACCATGACTAAAAATTAGAGAATTAGAAAAATTATGGGTTTCCCATATCCCCCACGATTTTGATTACTTTATGCATTTTATAGCACTTAGCGTATAGTCAGTTTCACTGGTTTCCCCTGGAGGGCCAAATATCCAATCTCTCTTATTTGCGTGGGTTTTTCCAAATATCAATAGGGAAGAGAAAAATATTAAAAAATACGAGTTTAAAATCCCCCAAATTGGCAGTGAGACTTAAGGGGAAAGACGTAGTATCTGAAATTACTTTTAGTTCACTAAAAGTTAGCTTTTAGTTCTTTTCAAAGCTGACTAGATTTCAGCTTGGCAATGTCTCTTTAAAAGCCATCTCTGTTTAAAAATTTGCTGCATACACATTTATTCTGATGATTATGCAAAGGGGAAAACAAAATACTGATGTAAAATAAGATCTGCACATAGTTATTTATAATGTATAGGGTGACCAGATAGCAAGTGTGAAAAATCGGGATGTGGGTTGGGGGGGTTATAGGTGCCTATATAAGAAAAAGCCTCAAATATCGAGACTGTCCCTATAAAATCAGGACATCTGGCCACCCTAATAATATAAAACGTGTAATATTGACTTTGGAAATACCAATAGGACACACAGATCTGTGTGAAAAATAATCTGCGAGGGCATCCTGAATAAAAAAAGTCTGAAAGCCACTTCTTGTTCCCTGCACAAAGTTATAATCTTATTTGTGACTTCACAATTACAGCAGTTGCTGTAGAGATGATGTCAAACAGAATTATTGCTTCAGGGGAGACTCATGCAGGAAGCATAGACGCATGAAAAAAAATCATCCTTAGAAACAGAAAAAAAATACATAAAGGACCACACCAGTTGAATTGTTTCTAAAATGGACATTTTTCACCATTGTCCATTAGATTTTTGCAGTACGTCTTTAAGAGCATCTATGCACGACACAATAACGTGCAAAACATAGCCTCAATCTAACACAATGAGACTGACATGGTTGACACCTAAAGGTGCTACCACAATACACATGACAAATAATAAATAAATTCATAAATAAATAATACACAAAAATTGGGGGGCATGTGCCAATCTACTGGCGTTCCCAGAACTGTGCATTACTGTGTTACCTCTCTCAGCATCAGCAAACCACAAGGACCTCTGTGTCAGAGAGTGGAAGTTAGTTGGACACAGTTTTCATTTATCACCATTAGCTAAAAGGTATCAGATAAACCAGTACTATGTATTTATAGTGTTATGTAATAAAAATATCTTTTTTGGAAACAAGAGTCTTTCAAATCACACAGCGATGTTCTTGATTTTTCAGTCTGCTTTAGCAGTTCCAGTTCAGACTGTGGTGCCAAACTTGCAGCTGCTAGGCGCTCCAGAGACTCATGGGGAGCTCACCCCGCTAGGGACAGGTTAAAATCATAATCTTGATGCTTAGCGCTCATGTACTACTGCAGGGCAGAATGGACTACGCGTGTCTGCTGACTGAGCTCTGTGTAGGGTTACCATACGTCCGGATTTTCCAGGATATGTCCGGCTTTTTGGGCCTCAAATCCCCGTCCGGGGGGAAATCCCAAAAAGCCGGACATGTCCGTGAAAATAGGGAGGGAGGGACCGGCGGTGCTCGGCTGGGGGCTGGAGCCGCTGGGGCCGGCAGTGCTCGGCCGGGGGCCGGGCCAGGGCCAGGGCCAGCAGTGCTCGGCCAGCGGTG